TAGGGGTAGCGGTAGCGGTAGCGGTAGCGGTCGTGGTAGTGGTCGTGGTCGTGGTCGTGGTCGTGGTGGTGGTAGTGGTAGTGGTAGTCGTAGTCGTAGTCGTAGTAGTAGTAGTAGTAGTAGTAGTAGCAGCCGCAGCAGCAGCAGGTTATCTAACTTCCACAGCTTATCTAGCTTCTGAGTCACTGCCACCAGCTGTTCAGAAAGCAAATGAACATTCATACAAAAGTACATATTTAATCTTTCGCCAGATCTTTCGCAAAAAAAAAATTACTTTCGCCAACTCGAGAAAAAACTTTCGCCAAATGAGATTTTGATATGTTCCGGGTCATCGTCATACACACTGCTGACTAGGACCTTTAGATCGACAACCATATATTATATATATTAGGCTGGTTCCTGTCTGGGCCGACCTTGAATGGTTGTGTTCTGCTACGAGACTAACACGCCATGAAAGAACTTGAACGACAAGGATTAGTCGTGTTGACGTGAGAGATCTTCTTTCGACGCAAGTGGGGTGTGTGCTAAAGTATACTGCATGAGTAAAGGTCCACTTGGCCTTTCGACCTTGGACACACATGCTGAGAAAGGAATGTGATGTCTCACGGTGTCCATTTATCTTGGATGCCAATAGTCCTTTAGATTTGACGAGGGTCTGGCTGCGCCACTCTTGTCCCTGTTTTCACCGGTGGAATTAAATTGTTACCAACAAAGCCAGCAGAAACAATCTGACTATGTCGATCTAGAACTTAACCTGGGAACGACACTGGTATCACAACCACAGAAGCAAACATAACGGGTAACGAGTTAAAAGATGTTAAAAGAATACTAGAGTCTCAACTAAAAGTCGTGGGCCCGATCAGCCTCAATAGTTGGATGCTGAGGAACTGTTCCCCTGTCGAAACACCTCAGTGCATGTTGTGGGCACCTTGACAGGATTGGGACTGCCGAGTCATCCAAATTCTTTTTGTATAGTCATGCAGTCATGCATCATAAGCAATCAGAGTCAGTCAATATTTGACTTGATTTGTAAGGGTTCTGCAAACATTGTATAACTCTGAATAGACTTCGAGTTACAATGCGGTCACCAAAGAATGCTGAGCATCAAGCATATCACAGTACAAACAGTGATCTTTCCTTGCGCTGCACAATTTTGACAATGAGGTCAACTGGCTGCCATGAACAATTCAACATGGATGCAGTGTCCCTAAGTCAATGTTTTAGGTTGGTTCAGTATAAACTGGATTGAAAGACTCCCTTTGTGGTGCAGGGGTTCTCGCTAAGCACAACTCTCCCGTCTGAAACTGGTTCATTCAAGTTCGCACCCTGAGAGTCAAAGCGGCCAGAATTGGCAGGTGGAAGATACATGCAAGGACGCAAATGACCATTGGTCTTCACCAAGTCTTGACAGTCTTCAGCATGCCCACAAAACCAGGTGGCTTGCCCAATGTCGATAGGCCAGCAATAGAGCTGCAGACAGCGGCCCACCAAAGCCATTCAAAGAGGATCTGCACGGCAACGTATTTATAAACGCTGCAGTGATTGAAGTCGTTCATTAAGGGTGTGGTTTTAATTGATGCCTGTTTGTTGCTCGAGAACTTTCCTTGGGGCTCACTACTTGCTGCTATTTGCAGCAGTTTGGGTGTCCTTGAAGAGGCATTGTGGGCACAATGCGGCATGGCTGACCTGTAAAAAGAACCATGTCGGCAGCAGGGCTGCCACTTGAAAGACACCACAGCTGTCGTAGCAGGCAAAGTACAATGGAGGAAGTTTGTGGTGCATACTTTACTTACTTTGATCCCCACCCTGAGAGGCGATTTGGAAGAAGACAGAGCACATGCACTGACAGACTATCCTGACAAACGCTGCTTGCTACAACAGCAACAGAAGCAAAATCAACAAAGGGACAGGGACACAGCAACAATTGCAGCGCAAAAATTCACGGTGTTCAAAGTACATAGCGCGACTCAAATGTACGGAGAGCAGGAACAAGCAACAAGAGCAACAAAGAAACAAAAACAGAAAAGCAAAAGCAAGCACCAAAGCAAACCAGCAACAAAAAGCAACTGAAGCAAAAGGGAACACCAAAAGCTAAAAAGCAGCATTATATGCAAAAGCAACAACAAGCAATTCTGAAAAATAATTCATCTTAAAACATTAACAATCATGAACATGCTGTTTAAAACATGCCCCTCCACTAGTTCATCGAAGGTCACCACCACAAGCAGCTCCACAGCGGGGTGGTATGAAAATCTACAGCTCTACAGTGGCTCTACAGTAATCATCCAATATCATGACGACTGGCATGGCATTCAATGTGATTCATGACCTGCAATGGTTATTGACACATGTTGACACGTCACCTCATGGTCAGATTGTCGATATTGTGCGCACCTCAAGGCGGCAAGGATGGCGAAGGTCGTCCCATCAGCCGCTGCAGGAATCGGAAGATGCTTCCTTGGTCGACACCCTATGAACAGCATTGATTTATACTCTGAATGATTTATGGTGTCCTCCGTGATAATGCACTGGCCATGTTTCCAATTTTGTACCAGCAATTTGGCACAGCGTGTGCCTAACAGCCAAACGAAGAGAAGCTGCAGAAATCCCAAAGACCATGAGCCCTGCAGGGAGAGGCCAAATCGCTCTGGGACCCCTTGTCAATTGAAGGGGTAAAAGAATGGTTTAAAAGTGAGAAAAAAGGTCGTATGAGGCAGCGTAAAAAACCGTTCGATCTATCATGTTTTGACAATCATCAGTCATCATTTCTCGAGGAGATCCTACGAAAGGCAACGTCAATGAAACGTCCCGTCCCTGATAAAAGTAGCTCGTACATTATATATATAAGGAATGTGCTTGAGTTAAGACTGGCCAAGGTGCGACAGAAGCATGTATGTAAAATAGTTTTTTTGGGGGTTTGGCTATGGTTTTGATATGATTTGCTGTTATGGTTTTATTATGGCTTCTCAAGTTATATAGTGGTTTTCTGCTCATGATTTTGTTATGGTTTTGATATGATTTGTTGATATGGGTTTGATACTGGTTTGAATATGATGTTCTTATGGATTTCTTATGGTCCAGCCACTCGAGCCCTCCTCCCCCCCACAAGGGAACCTTTCTTCCAAGCCCTGGCCCACTCAAAAGCCTTTTGATAGCCTTTCCAGGGCCTCTCACCACTTTGGAACCTGCCTCCAGCCCGCGGAAAAGGCAAGCCATACCAAAACCATATCAAAATCAAAACAAAACCATAAGCGTTACACTTTTCTTATGGATTTCTTATGGTCCAGCCACCCGAGCGCTCCTCCCCCCACAAGGGAACCTTTCTCAATCATAACAAAATCATAACCAAAACCACAACCACATTTTCACACCATATCAAAATCATAACCTCCAACCATATCAAAACCTGTAGAAAAACTCAACCCCAAAAACTGGTCTCAGGCTGGTTTAGCCAGTCTTAATGCTTGAGTAAGCAATGACAGTAGGACGTGGCTGGACAAAGGGTCGAAGGGTTATTGTAACCAAATCGATAGGGTCTTTGTTCTTACCAACCATCGTGTCCAAAGCCCCTGCTTTCACATGGGGCATGCAGTCGAGAAGACCAGATATTCATACATATTGCTATGCAGTTGGTTTGGGCACCTGGGTCACTGAATGCTACCAGTATCTACTGGTCAAACAAAATTCTGTGCTCACTACTCTTGATAAATAAAACCTGCCACCACGTCTAAGTAAAGCTGGTCCGCCAACCTTCAACCATGAACGTTGTCCGCCCACCAGGGAAGAAACTGCGGCCACCAGCACGGAAGCAAAGTAGAGGGCCTTGGGCAGAAACATACTTCAACTTCAACATGTGCATCTCAAAATGTTTGGTGAAACGCTTGGATTTATTTGGGAACGAACCGCAGTAGAAGCAAGTCCCTCAATCCTGTGTCTACAGGTGATTCGGTTGTCGCTCCCCGTGGATATTCTTTAAGCCTCTCGAATCAAAAATCATGTGAAACAACAGAACGACTTTGAGCATGTTTGAATTGAGTCGGATAATGTGATGGGAAGAAACTAAAGTGGGCACATGCCCAACATCAACTCCAAGCTGCAAGTTTATCTGTTTCAACTGATCCAAATCAAATGCAGTCGGTGCGCGGACGGCATAATTATGTTGCCTTTGCGGCTCAGCATCTAAACCATCACAAGACAAACAATTGATTGATCAAACTTGCATAGGCTTTTGCGCCTCTCAATATGAAAGCCAAGCAGCACTTGTTGAATCCCATGCGCCTGACACAGTCGTTGACCACAAATTTACACCAAGCAAAATTCAACTAGCTGGGCTTAATACCAAACATCGCCGTTTCTTGTATGTTGCGCCAAAATTGAGTGCCTTGTGTATCTTAACTTACAGTGACTTGCCGCATATTGACTCTCATTACATCTCTACCGCTGGGGAGAAGGAACTACTGTAAATCAGGAGTCAATTTTCTTTGCAATGGGGGTTAGTGATGCCAGGCTTTGCCTTGATAGGTCTCTTTCTGATGCCTTGCAGTCATTCAATGTTGATGTGCTGGGTGGCCCTATAGGGAGCCCCTGCAAGGGACTGCTCCTGGGGAGGAATGAAATCAACAGTTACGCCTTGGCAAAGGGGGGTTACTCTGTGGAGTAATAAAATCAAGAGTTAATAGTTCAATATGTGCAGAAGAGTTGAAAAGAATTAACACTATATAGAGTTATGTTTGAGAACGCTACGTGTGGAGACATTGGTTGTAAAAGACATAACTCTTGAGTTAATTATGTTGAACTCTTCTGTCACATCTTTTCGGTTTACGGCTTACGGTTTACAACATTTTACAACAAGTGTTTCTTGGACCATGGATGTGATATACAAGTCTGGGCTGTGACATTCCTGGATCTTGATCAAACAGTTATTGCAGGTTGCTCAAGACTCCCGTAAGATACAATCTATATACTGAGTCTGGCTGGCATCTCAAGTCCTTTCTACCTGCCTCGGCTCACAAGATCCTCGTGGCTCTCGGCAAGCTCAGCCAACAAGCGACTCAGGGGCAGGTTTGTCACAGCAAATCTGTTAGTCTCAACACTTTGACTGCGTTGGTGTCAACACATGGTCTTGTGAATAGAGGAGAACATGTTTGTCTTCACCTGTTGTCTAACCTTCAACACCATTCATTATCAGTTAGGTCAACAGCTAATATTGCCTCTTCCGGAGGGAGATGCCAATGTTTCATCTCGTCCGATTGTGCATGCGCATGTAGCAAAGAACCAGCAAGTATGGCAGGCCGATATATTGAGTCGGGGGAGCTGGTGTTGGAACTCTGTGAATGATTTGTCATGTAAACAGACCATCTCATCTCATGCCAAGTTTCAGGACGGGTCGGTTCTGGCTTTGGCTTTGACGCTTGTTGCCTCATTGTGAACAACAATCGAGACTGGCGAGGCATTGGAAAGCATTATATACAGTTCCCGCTTTTACGGTGGGATGATACATGTCATATGTACAGTGGAAGGACCAACCGTCCAGGGGCCCAAGATCTGCTTCGTGGCTCTACCTTGAAATCGTACTGAAAACATGTCAAAAGGCACCTGCAAGCAGCAAGGCCCCTAAAGCTAGAAGGTTAAAAGAATTAAGCAAATCAATGTGGGAGCACGTCAGCACCAACTCTCGCACCTGATGTCGGCACTCCCGCATCTGCCAAAGTCGGCACATCTCTTTTCAAGGAGATTGTCTGGCGAACTGTTTTCAACCTGCAGCGAGCGCTCCGCCCCTTCAAACAGCTACACGATGGGTGGGGTGGCCCGCAAAGTACTTGGCCACTTGGCACGAATTGTATTCATTGTATTCTAATCATTGTTCATGATGTTCATGTTGGCATAAAAGGAACCAGCTGCTCCCAAGGACCTTGATGTGTTGAAGAAAAGGAAGTAGAAACAGCGCATTCTCATGGAGGTCGCCAATCTTTACAGGCTTTGCTATACCCTCGGCACAACCGAAATGCCGCTACCTCATGTGGGCCACACTGGATCTTCGTTGTCGGAAGTCCCCGCCATCGCCCTCCATCTGGTTCGCTCAACCTCGCAAAGGGTGGGGGTGATGCTGCTCTTCTAGCTTCTTCTGTGTTCGACATTGCAGATTGACGGAGATCGACATCTTGAGGACGGTTTCCAGCAGGGCCGAGGCACAATTCCCACGTTGAGGTCAAAAGGAGTGGAGCGAAAGGAGTGAACGCTGCAGCTGCTTTCTTTCAGGTCCGTAGAAACATGCAGGTTCTAGAGAGCCCCTCATTTTTGTTTATATACCAGGACTGGGATCGCGAACACGTGTCAAGAGTTAAGACCTAGGGTTCAGTCAGATCCTGCGATTCAATTTGTAAGCCAAGCCTGCAGCACACGTGGACACATACTTGGATGCTCAACAAGCTTTACAAGCCAAGCATTGTGCCGAGAAGAAAGTCCCTTAGCGAACTGCCAAGAACAGCAATTTGTCCTCGGCTAATCTGTGCTGCACATCCCCTCAAAATGCAACAAGGTGGTCCTTGCATTGGACGCCATGAGCCCAAAGCTAAGGGCTATCAAAAGCATGACCCCAATTAATCAGTATTCAATATATATATATATATTATCCCTGTTGCCATTCCCTTCTGCTCCTGCAGTTCGCGACATATGCCGTCAGCTTCTGCCTGCCGCAAAGGAGAGCCTGGCACAAGTTGATTGAACTTCTGCTGTCCACCTTGCTCCTAGTAGTAAGGCCAGCAGCCCCTAGTAGGGTCCTGGCATTGAAACTCAAGCGACATTCAGAATCTGAACCTGAATCTGCAGTCTACAAAATCTCTAGGGTTCGTAGATATCGGGTCTAGGTCCAGGTAGAGTAACAGTGCGCTAATTGTACCTTCAGCAGCATCTTCTTTGCGGATAGCCTGGCAAAATAGTTGACACAACTTTTTTCACTGATTGATAACTGACACAGTGCACTGGAACACGGCAGAACATTGACCAGCAGTGCACAAACGACAAACGCTTTCCTTCCTGCAGAAGCACAGGATATGCTAGCTAACAACGAAAGTCAGCCTCCAAAATGAGAGCATTGCACAACTGCACCTAGGCTGAACAAAGTAACAGGACACGAAGATGAGCATCTACAAAATCGTGTCCGCAATCTAGTTGACATGAAAATTTTCCACCCTTGAGTGCAGGCACAATACCTACAGTACAACGGTTGACTGTTCCAGAGGCAAAGTGACAACATGGCATGAAATATTGCAAAGGCGACTACAATGAAACAAAAGAAAACGAAGGTTAAGTAAAAGTCTTGAGAAAGTGCTGTCCATACTTGAATGGACCTAGATCTTCAAGGCCCCAGCCACCGGCCACATATTCTGAGGACATAAAACCAAATTCTTCAATTTGGTGGAGAGAAGCATCGAAGATGCAGTCGGCGATGCCTGCAAGAAGCCCGCTAGAAAAGCATCCACTTTGCAAAGCCCTGACGTTTGAAGTGATCAACTTGACGTTTGATGTAAGTTGAAAAGAAGGTGATCATTGGTGATACTCTGCTTTTTGCAAAAGCGTGTGTTGTGGGGATAGATCACCTGGGGTCTTCTGGTGGTTCACGCGATGTCATTAGTAATTTTTGAATATGGTTTCCGATTGATTCATAACCAGCGCTTGCTCTGTGATGCCCCTTAGGCGACAGAAAAACGGTTAAAATGTCATGTGCGCATAGTTCCTCCCTCTCAGAGCTGACAGATAGAAACCTCGTTGGCGTCTCATCATGCGAATACGTGATCATGTGCATAAATCCGCCGACCCCACACCGTGACTGTCGATGTTAGCCTTAGCCTTAAGCCTTAGCCTTAATCCTTAGCCTTAGCCTTAGCCTTAGACTTAAAGCCTTAGCCTCAGCCTTAGCCTTAGGATTAGACGTAGCCTTAGCCTTAGACCTTATCTCCCCTACCCCTCCGGACCTTTGTTGCAGTGACGAAATCCCGACCTAAAAGCTACGAGATTTGACGGGATTGCGACCTGAAAGCGGCCTGATGGTGACCTGGATTGTCCAAGATTCTGCCATCCCAATTGATTTACATCTTGGGGCACCCTCTTGACCCGCGCGGGAAAATAAGCACGGTCCAAAATGGTCCTGGGCTCGAATCCTGGGCTGGTCGCGGCGTGGTCCCGGCCAATGCCCTTGCTTTTTCGTAGATTTTGTCATGTTTTCTGTTGGTTTATGAGATTTTCAAAGGCTTTTCTAGCATTTTCCTAGGAATGCTCTCGGCTTTGTCTAGATTTTGTTATGTATTCGGCTGGATGCTTTTCCAAGAATTTTCTAGCGCTTCCTCTTGTTTTTAGGTTCCCAGATTTCTCCCAAAAATTGGTAACCTTTCCAGATTTCTCCCAAAAATTGGTAACCTTTTGCTAACCTATGGAACTTTCAAAGGCTTTTCTAGCATTTTCCTAGGAATGCTCTAGGCTTCGCTACGGAAACAGACGACAACGCACAGACTGCGAAGCGGGTGCTACCATGACATGTGAGCAACCTATAGTGGCTTCAAAACAACTGTGGTGTCCAGAGGAACGGATGTGTCACAGAACGTGGCCGTGGTGATTGTGGGTACCTTCTCGGGTCTTATCAGTGCCCGCCTTTGTGGGACCCGCTTTGGAACCCTTGGCAAAGGGATGCCTTGGTGGTAATGGGTTGGGTCGCCGGGAGAAACCGATCGATTCAGCACAAGTCCGGGCGCCGATACGCGTGGCATTTGAATGTACCCTAGACCATGGGCAGCGCCAGGCCGCAGAACCCAACGCGTCACGGGGTTCATGCAAGAGCTGACGTCCGATGGTAAATCTGGGAGGTACCCAAAAAGTCGACTTTTTGGGTACCTGCTTTGGTAGTGCTGGGTTGGGTCTAGACTCTTGGGCAATGATATCCTTAATGGGGACGAGGGTTCAGCATTACGGGGTTCATGTGACGTCCGATGGTAAACCTGGGAGGTACCCAAAAAGTCGACTTTTGAAAAAACAGAGACAGTCCTCTATCGTGGAACCCACCTTTGCAGTTTGGCCTGCGAGGGGTCCTCGGCGATAGAGTGTGCCTGGACAGCAGGATATAGACGCGGACTCGTCGGTGAGGAACGCATCATCATCACCACGGGGTTCATGCAAGAGATCGCGTATGGTAAATCTGGGAGGTACCCAAAAAGTCGACTTTTTGGGTACCTGCTGTGGTGGTGATGGGTCTGAACTCTTAGGCAATGATATCCTTTATGGGGAGAAGGGTTCAGCATCACGGGGTTCATGCAAGCGATGACGTCCGATGGTAAATCTGGGAGGTACCCAAAAAGTCGACTTTTTGGGTACCTGCTTTGGTGGTGATGGGTTGGGTCACCGGGAGAAACCGATCGATTCAGCACAAGTCCGGGCGCCGAGTCGACTTTTTGGGTACCTGCTTTGGTGGTAATGGGTTGGGTCGCCAGGAGAAACCGATCGATTCAGCACAAGTCCGGGCGCCGACACTTGTGGCACTTGAATGTACCCTAGACCATGGGCAGCGCCCTGCGGCCCCACAGGCCGCAGAACCCAACGCGTCACGGGGTTCATGCAAGAGCTGACGTCCGATGGTAAATCGGGAGGTACCCAAAAAGTCGACTTTTTGGGTACCTGCTTTGGTGGTGCTGGGTTGGGTCTAATCGGGAGGTACAGCAAATCCCTCCATTCTCGGCCATGCAGCAGCATCAGTGCCCCACAACACACATAGAGCCACCCCAAACAGCTGCCGCCTGCCCTCCAAGACCAGATCCACGGAGTCCTCACTGGTCCTCCAAGGCTCGACCACTGGTCCAGTCCCTTCCTGCGAGCTGCCCCTGGACCATCAGCAACCATCACAACCACACTTCTCCAGCAAAAAGTGCTGCCGGCAACTCCCAACTCACGCTCCGCCCGCGCTAGACCCGGACCTCGCACCCCGGCGCTCGCATTCCCTAGCTCCACTCCACACTCCACTACACATCCCTTGCGCGCCTCGTCCAGCTCCAGCAGCCGTCGGCTTCCGCCAGCCTGCCAAAACACTGCGCGCCGGCGTTTTCCGCCCACGACAACTACACCGAGCAGTTTTCCGTGGCCTGCATAAGGGGACATACATGGGCAACGCCCCCGCTGGCTGACGCGACCTAGCAAACACCATGGGCAGCGCCCTTCTCCCGCAGGAAACGCACAACACAAACACCGGCTCACCCGACAACTTGGGTGACGGGGGCTCTTCTCGACTCCTGCATTTTGCTCAAGGGGTGCTCCAGGAAACCCTATCCTCCCCACATCCAGGGCAACGTCCTTCCTCCTACTGTGGAACCACCCGCTTCCACACCCTTCCGTCCCCCCCCCGAAATGTAGAGGCCTACTTCTACAGGTTCCACTCCAGTGGCCTATCTAGTGTGTCCATACTTGACTGCCATAAGGCTCAAGAGGATAAGACTCTGCGTATAAAAGACACTAGCGGTCTGCACCTCAACCGTGTACGCCCTAGTCACTCTTTCAGTGGTAGCGGAGCTGTGATCCTGGAAGACCCAGGTGAGCTCCTTTCCTAGGCATAGACTTGCTTGTAGGCGACCGGCCATGGATTGGATTGACGACTGGGAAGAGCCTGATGCGGATGTGGCTTATGAGCCAGCAGCCTATGTGAATAGGCATGTGAGAAGAGAACCAGCAGCTATAGCAATGACAACACAGGTCACTACAAAGGTGCCCCCATCTTATGATGGAAAGACTTCATGGTTTTCCTATGAGGATGCCATAGACGATTGGTGTGATATCACCGAGCTGGAAGATGAGAAGAGAGGACCAGCTTTGAGAAACAGATTAGAAGGAGAAGCAGCCGTATACAAACGTGTATTAGACAGAGATGCATTGAAGGCAAATGATCCACCAGGAGCTGGAGTAGAATACTTCAAACGAGTACTACGACCATATTTTGTGAAAGGATCCACCAATGTATTCCTGTATAGGTTTATGCAATTCGTGCGCTTCAATCGCGGATCAGCCGACATGATGAAGTGGATGACAAGATTTCAG